AGGGGGGGCAGGCAGCAGGAAAGGGCTTAGGTGAGCTAGCTCTAGGAGAAGCCCCTAATCTCCAGGAGCCAGAGAAAGAGATTGAAAATAGCAATTTGATTCAGAAGCACGAACAGCCGTCCTCAACACACACTTCTGTTTAAGACCGTCTCCTGTGGCCAAAGCAGGCTGAAGAGTCATCTGCCGGGTTAGACTTTGTTTTAATAACAGTGGCTGTAGGAGCCGCTGAGGGTAGCTATTCTTTCCTGTTATTTATATTCCTATGATGTGGGCACTGTTTGTGCATTTTGTGATTAAAAACCTACTCAAGTGAGCTGTGAAATGATACTCATTGGTGTCAGGACCCAAGGCCTAGTGGGACACAGCTGGTGAGTGGCAAAAGACTGCCCTGTGGCCATGTGTCACTGACAGGTGGTGGCCTTCTTGGGTGCTAGGTAGGCTCCCCTCCTGCAAATACAGATAGACCAGGGTAGGGGGCCAATCAGTGTCTTAGGTCAGATTGTTACAGTATGCCTCCACTTCTCCAACCCTGTATTCTGTCTCTTCCAAACAAACAGCATACACAACATGTACGGAAGTCTCAAGCAAAATTTAAATTGACCTTTGAATTGTTTGATGTTTGGACTAGCTGTCCAAGTATAGAGCACAAAGTGTTTAATATTTGTTGTGTATTGGATATAGTTTTTTTTGGTGTTTTGATGATGGTTTTTAATTTTTGGATATTAAGATTATTTTGTATTTTTTTTTTCTTTCTGGGTCATCTGGATTTTGAACAAGCCTTAAAACCCCCTTGTGAAATGCAAATAAATTCTGAGCTTACCTAGGGACTGCTCACAGAGAGGCACAGCAATGCCTTCTGTGTTCAGTGATAAATGGCAGGGACAGGCTCTGAGACATGGCCTGTGGTTTCAGTACTGGATTTTTTTTTTTTTTTTTTTTTTATGCAGAAAATTTGGAAGTACTCAGAGCTCTGCCAGGTAACTAGTTCAGGTGATTAGACTGGAAAATTTAGAGAGCTAGGTGTTTTCATGGTCGCCAGAGAGTTTCCTCATCTAGCTGAGGAATTGTCAAGATGGTCAGAATTTGTAAAACGCTTTGGCGTGTGTGAGGTATAGTTTGGTCTCACGCATTTCCAAGTCACACTTCAACAGGAAGCCTGTACATTTTATGACTCATAGGTTCCTGTTCAGAACAGCAGTTTGTTTTCTGCTAATTAAAATGTAATTACATAATTTCTTTCCTTCTTCCGACTCCTCCCACTACCCCCTTAAATTCCTGGCCTCCTCGTTTTTTTTTTTTTTTTTTTTTTTTTTTGTTATAACTCCCTGCTCCTCCCCCCACACAGCCTGCTGAGTCTGTTCAGCAATGCTGAGTCTGTTCAGCATGTACATGATTTCAGGGCTGACTCCTTCGTATTGGATAACCAATTAGGGACTCCTCCCTGGGGGAAGGGCTGCTTTTCTTGCCCTCACCTCCTACAGTTGCCTTAGTTCTTTGTCCAGGGGTGGGGCCCTGTGACGTGTCTCCCTTCCAAGTCCATAGATTGACTAGCCGTTCTCAATTGGTAGGAAGTATCTATATGGATTTCTGGGGTTGTTATTTAATGTTTTGGAACTATAGGGGCGTGTGTGTATGTGTGTGCATGAGTACATATGTGTGCATGCACACACATTTAAATCTTGGGTGAAAAGAAGATTGCATAAGATTATCATGACCACAAGTCCATAAAAGATTATATTAACTGCAATTTAACTTTCTTAAAGTCTTACCCTCTAACCCTGTGCTCGATGTTAGAATGAGAAGAACAAAATCCACCCAGTAATTTTTATAGGAATTCCTATAAATAATTTGCCACCAGTGACAACTAATGGTAAAATTCACAAGTATATATTGAGGTCACTGTAAAAAAGTGACTTCACTTTAGACTTAATTCGTACATGACTTATGTTATTTAAATTTCACCGCACACGTTTTGATGGTTTGATCAAAGAGCGGTAGTCCCTTGTCTGGTGGTTCAAATAGTGGTCTTGAACTTGATTCATGGGTTGTAAAGTTCCTACTTGTCTAGTAAGATGCTTGAAATGGCTTCCTGTTCTGTGAAGCCAGTTTCAAACTGCACCTGCCACAAGAATGGGTTTCCCAGTGTCCTCTGTAGGTACAGTGTGTTCTCATCGGCATTATAGAGGCTTCTTATCCACCATAACCACTAGGAAGATTTTCCCGCATGGAGGTTTTCAGGCTTTACCTTAGAGCAGTGGCTCCCAACCTATGGGTTGCAACCACTTTGGGGGGTCAAATGACCCTTCCACAGGGGTTGCTTAAGATCACTCTGCATATCAGATACTTACATTATGATTCATAACAGTAACCAAATTGCAGTTATAAAGTAGCAACGAAAACAAGGTTATGGTTGGGGATCACCACAACATGAGGAACTATATTAAAGGGTCTCAGCATTAGGAAGGTTGAGAACCACTGCCTCAGTCAGTCTTGGAAGTCCTAGACTCTGCATATTTTATAAACACTCTGAGTAACAGGATCCACTGGTTAAGTGGATAATGTCTTAGGGAGAGAATTTCAAGGCTTCTGTGACTATAGTTTTTGTTATCATAGACCACAGGGAACTTATGACTCAGGATCTAGGGCCAATCAGCTTCATCCATTAACACCAAGATGAGGAAGGTGTTCATGCACCAAGGTCACAGGCAGGTGTGATGGCACATGGTCAAGGAAGGGGACATAGATAAATCTTAAGGGTATAGGGGACCCTAGAGTGAAGTGATGGGGTAATTTGAGAGCATTGAAAGGACCGTGAACTGTTCTTGCTTATGGAGGACTCTTCTGGCTTTGGGGTGAAATGTCTCTCACATGCTAAGGATTCCCAGTCCCAGGTAATCTTGCATAGGGCATCCTACCTGTAACTTGCAAAACACATAGTGTAGGATAGAAATTAATATGGATTGAATCTTTGTGTCTCCTAGTCTTTGGAGAAGGAGCCTTTTGGTGCAGCCCTCATGAATGGGACACTTCCTATCCTAAGAGTCCAGAAAGCTAGCTGACTGGCTTTCTACTTTATTAGGGTACAGTGAGAAGTCAGCTATTTGTATCACGGAAGAGGGCTTTCTCAATGGCTTGACATGGTTGGTGCCTTGACCTCAGACTTCCCACCTGCAGAACTGTGAGAAAGGAACTTTTGTTTACCTAGTCTGAGTTTGTCATAGCCACTCAGACTGACCGAGAGAGGAATCTGTATGGTAGACACAAAACTCACGATAGCTGGATCAGTGCTCATCACTTGAGTAAATATTTTCACTCTGGTATTAGTGTCTGTTCTGGGGTCACTGGGTGGAAAATGGCTTGAGGGTTATCTTGACAATGGCTTTTCATTTTGAAGTGTGCACAAGGAAATCTACAACGGTATGTTTTAAAAATCCCTTTAAAACTGTGGGCATGAAATTTTTTTTATTGATTTTAACAAAATGATGATGTCTTTAGGATCATTTTCCACGCCATTCCTGCCAATGGGAGTCATTTTTTCAGCTTCTCTGTTATATCTGTGTTTCTGTAAGAACTCAAGGACAGTCTGGCATTTCATGTGGCTGAGCATACCCCTTGTTCTGTCTCTCCAAGGATGACTGATAGAGTGGAAGTTTAAGTGAACACTGTCCCCAAAGACAGCTGAATATCCATTGCTATAAATATTCTTTCAGCAGCGTGTAGTTAAGATCTTGATTTATAAGTTCTTCATTTGAGTAAGACAATGATGTTGACCATCTGTTTTCTCTTCAAGGATTCTGTGTGATCTATAGGTCTTGTCTTAGTCTGAGTCAAAGAAAGCCCTGTCTTCCCATTCCTAATTCAAAACACTGCACTTGACCAGAGTTGCAAGTGACTTGGAAATCCCAGTGAATCTCCAGATGGCAGGGTTACACACCTCAAATTGCAAAATTAAAATGAGGGATGGAGCTAGATGCTGGACAAGCTTCCCAGAACTCATTGCCACAGCGGGGTGTCACAAAATATGTTCTTGTAGGTGCAGTTTACAGTTGGATTTATAGAACAGAAAAGTATCTCAGGTGTCCCAATAGGTAGCCATCATCTTTCATATGACCCGTTCCCCAGCATCAGATAGGCTATAAAAGTCAGGTTAGAGAGGATCTATATCATTCCAATTTCAGGAGCTCACATGATCCCCCAATACCTCTTTGA